CCATTTTCTTGGCTCAGGTTGTTGTTTCTTTGCTGTTCAACTCAAAGTTTCCGTGGAAAACACCTCTGAGCTGTCATCAAGCCTAGTCCCATCTGACACGTCCCACCTGATATACAGTATCTCCTTCCAATCGGATGAAGCTGGCTCTGGTAGGCTACAATCAATCACCATGCAAACGTGTTTGTTTGGCAGTGTCGTCTTGCTGTCTGATGGATGTCTTCCATTTGCCCTTTGCACAGGAGTTAAGAAGAGATTTATCAAAGTAAAGTATTTTTTTAGATTCAGTTATGACGTAAAAAAAATAACAAATATCAACAGGAGGTGGGTTATTGGTTTCAGCTGCTTTTTTTTGTGTTGATTTCTACAAGATCCTACCAATGACTGATGTCCCTGTCGATAAACAGGCAATTTAAGTTTAGACCAAAATACTAGTCTGACGATACACGAGCTCGACCTACTGCAGGTCAGTCTCAGCTGTCAACCATTTCAAGAACATCACAGAACCAATTAAAGACAAACTTACCAGAACAATTAACTCTTAAACAACCATCACAGTGTGATAAGAACTACATCAAATGACAGAAAACTAATTTGATTTATTTTTTTCCAAAGATCAAATGCTGCCAAATCCCACTGGTTTTATCCACTCTGCACATACCTACAACCTAGATACAATCCTGTCAATACACTGTGTATTAGGATTAAATCTCCAGTAATAATACATTGAATAAAGAATCGAATTGCATACATCAGTCTGCTGATTTGACTGCTTTGCACAATGATATCACTGGAATGCTATCAGCCATTGACATGTGATGATATCACTGCTGCCTACAGGCATGTCACAAAGAAAGTTTATGTTATTCGCAGCAACCTGAACATGCCATGACCTGGGTAGAAGGGGGAGAAGGTGGGACTTCAGGAATAGAAGAAAAAGAACGCAAGAGACTCAAGACAATACAGAACTGGTAGAGAGGAGAAACAACAAGTTGAGACAAGCCGTGGAAAAATACAGACATCTTGTTGAGGGAATTTACATTATACTGTTTAAAAACCTACAATACTATGTAATGGACATAACACTGTTATGTACGCATACAAAACAGTATGCAAAATATATTGTCAAGTTGCAGTACTGCGAGTCATGACTAGAAACATCTTTCTGTCATATTCCATCTTTGCACACCTCAGTTACATTTGAAGTGATCTCATTTGATTAAATCCCGTGTTTCAGTATCAGTCAGACATTATCCCTCTGGAAATGTTTGTAATCATAACAAGGCGAGTGAATAACAAGTTACACGACTCTCACAGCATTATTTTCTCACAGTTACGCTTTGACATTAATTTGCCGGCAGCAAAATAGTCCTCAACCACCATTGAGAAGAAAAAATAAACTATTTATCAAACCACTAAGAGAAAAAGACCCAGTCAGCTCATATGAATAGGTTTCCATTCAATGCAGACACCCTGTGGCAACATGACGCAAATCAATCAGGCACATCAACCCTCATCAAAAGGGTCAGAGCGACTCAACTGTAGTTCAGAGGAGACTAAACACTGTGATTAGCAGTGACATCACTGACATGATGGTGAGCGGAAGTGGCCTTAAAGGAAGTAATGAGTGCAGGTGTGAAAACTGCACATCAGGGTGATCGGTGTTTGGTTCCCATAGTGACACATTTCTAAAGGACTCATCTGAAATTCAAAGTGGACAGTAAGGGTCTGCTGCATGTTGAGAATGAAATTAACCAAACCGCGGTGGAAATATACCTGATTGGTTGCGACAGGCACCTTCTTCAGATCCCACATGGAAACAACTGCGACTGTGATTAGTAATCTTCTCTCCTGCATGTTTCAACGCTGGTGTAGATTGATGATACTTGAGAAAACATTAAGCAAAACCAAAATTCAGTAATCTTTTCCTTCTCTGTCACACGTTGTTTGCTCTAGAGCCTGGACGATCGGTTGGGGGATTGGCTGGCCAAATAAAATCAGTTGATATGAGCCTTTCACAAATATCTACTGTGGTTGTGGATATGAAGATTTTTATTTTACAGAATAAACAATGTGGAAAGGGTGTGCATTTATGTTTACATTTATATTAAAATAAGTTAATTTTCTTAATTCAACTACTATATTTTCTTATAGTTTACTTTTTTTAATTATTCGTTATTTATAAAAAAAATTTGGGCTTAAACTGTAGTTAGTTCGTTTTTGGGTTAACGGTATCTTGGCTACATTATTCAGTGTGCACTTTTCTCATCTTGCAAATCCATTTACATGAGAGAAGTGTCTGTCAAAAGAACATAAACGTGAGGTGAAGTGTATGTCACCTTTATAGCAAGTGATTTACAGTGAGAACTCTTTTGTCCATGTCACAACATGTGTGAGGGATTTATTTTACATATAACAAATGAATGGTCACACCTCGTATTTTACAACGTGGCCATTCACCATTGACAGTGGTGCTTCAGCAACACGACAAAATCCAGCACTGGACAATAAATCAGCTCCATCCCTGGATGAGGCTACGGCCGGACAACCACAACGTGTTGACAGAGAAGCATAAATTTGGTTTTCAACAGCAGCTCCAGGGGTCTCAGTGCGGTTTGCTATAGTGCACAGCTGTGTTCAAATTATTCTCACCTGCCAAAACAAACCGCTCCACGTCAATAAAAAATTTTTGAATCACCCCAAACACACAAGCCAATGTCATCCAGTTGTTCAGCTAAAGTTTAAAGTTTGAGCGTCTAAGGCTGCGTCCATACTGATACTTCAGTTTCAAATCGGCATCCAGCTCCGAATCTGAAACTCGCTACATCACATGACCGTTCACATACATGCGTAATGGTATAAACAGGAAGTAGATCGTCTTCTCTGCAGATGGTTGATTAGTCTAAGAAAATACCGTGAACGAGAAATAACTAAACTGCAACAAATACACATTTATCTTTCAACACAAGCGAATGGCTGGAGAGGAACAATGAACACACAGTTTGATTTTAATATTCTTAATAATACACTCATTCAAATGTCAGACTGATTTTTCAATAGAATTAAGTTCATTGCTCTTTGACAGGATGTCACACTGGTGGAGCTAATGTAAAAAGTTAGTCTGGAGTCCTGCACTGTTCTGATTAGTCGCTGACAATAAATGACAAACAGAGGCCCTGTTGTTATAACCTCTAGCCTCCAGTCCTGACACCTTATCTGACACAGCAGTTGAATATAAGCAGTCAAAGATTGACCACTGGGCTGTCGACTGAGGCTTTGTGTTGATCTGTTCATTATGGAACCAGCAACCGGTCTCTGGTTGCCTGAGGGCACCGAAGGACGGTCTGCAGGTGTGTATGGGAAATTAAATCAGTCCCCACGGGAAAAGGGTGATGGAGGAACAACAACAGAGGAGCTGTATTAGTTCTCTCTCCTTTCAGCTCTCAGCCCAGAGCTGCCTCTGTGATTCTAGGTCAGTAGTGGCTTTTTAAAGATGTGATACGAGCCCCAGGGGAGTTTGGTGCTGCTAAATAGACCTGTAATGGCCCCTGATAATCTGACACTGAGGATATAACTTTCGTAATACCAATTCGAATAAGATCAGTGTTTTCCCATAGGTTGATTTCGCAGCCGGCCTCCGCTGCTGCTGCTGCTGCTGCTGCTTCAGGATCAGGGCAGACAGACACATTACACTCACTTTACAAGTTAACAATAAACACCATCACTAATCAGAAGGTATAAGAAACCTCAACAGTACTGAAGTTGACTTTGGGTTTGTTTGATTTACTCTTAAGTTTATGAGACGTATTTAAACATTGCAAACTTTGCTCAGCTGTGTGCCTCAGCTCTCACCACACCTGGCTTTGTTAGGGGCACAGCTACTACATGGGCATTATGTACTGAAACTGAAAAAGCATCAGATGTCTCCTTTAAGAACCGTTGTGCTGTTGCTTAACGTGGACACTTGTTAGATATACCTGGTTTCAAGTATTTAACTTAACAGTATATTGACTAAAAGTGGAGACCTCTGGGATCAAATAACTGTCTACTAATGTCATTGAAAAGAGTCACACTGGACCAATAAGATCTCTTTAACGCTGTGGGTAAACAACATATTAATGAGTGAAAAACACAAAGCTGCAGCAAAAGAAATAGAGTGGTCAGTGGAGGCACAGAGGCCCCACAATCTCTACCATCACCCCTGCTGCACTGCATCACCCACTTCATACAAAGCTTCGTGCCACAGTGAGCTTCAAATCAGCCTTTTCATCCTCTAGGTGAAAGGCTGCAAAGCGGTGACCACATCCTACTCACACGCAGCAGATAATGTGCCGGCCGCCGGTGTTTAGAGTCCTGACAAGAGGACGGCTGGGGATGACAAAGTCGGGATGAAATTCCCCCCGGAACAAAACCTCGTTTGTGTGATTATTGTTCGCCAGGCTCGCAATGAGGCAAAAATCCATTCCACATGATGCATTCATTGTTTTCAGCCAAACATGCAGCCAGGCCCCACAGCAGCCACAGATACTGTACTAAGGCCCCCCACAGAAAAGGAAAAGTGAGAGCCTGCTGCAACACACAGGAGGGTCACTCACAAGCATGTGCAGCATCCTGTGAAGGAATATGAAGGCCATGCACTGCTTAGGTTGCATCATTACAACTTTTTGTTTTGTGGAGGTTTCATGATTGTCGTCAGTTCTGGAACAAGTTATTTAAGGAATTTCAAATTGCACATGATTAAATTCAACACATCCCTGACAATCACTCCAATACGCATCACTGTGACCCACCTCAGGATCTTCGTGGGGGATTAACAATCAGGATTGAACTGCTGGGTGACTCACATTTCAACAGGTGACGAAGCAATGCAAAAAAAAAAAAAAAAAGCAAAGTGCTATTTCATGGAGAAATCGCTGCAGGTACAGGTTGCAAAGCAGTAACTAAGGCCACAGGGAAATAACACAACACCTGCGTCGAAGGGAAGCAAAGGATCGTGGACTCACCTCGATCCATGTCTGCGCCTCCTGAAACGCGGAGTCTGCGGCAGAGTCGCTGGCAGGGTGATGCTGATGAGACTGTCCTATGTCTGCAGCCGGACTTGCCATTGGCGAGTGGGCTCAGCTCTCCTCAACTATTAAAAGCCTGGGAATGCGATGAGTACAAGCAGCTCGGTGCCGCAGTTATTCCACAGAGTTCAGCCGTGCACCGCGTCAGGCAGTCGGTCAGTCAGCCCGCTCTGCTCCGTCTGCGGATGGAGGTGTTTGCAGCAGCAGCGGTGGTGGTGGTGTTGGTGAGGAGGAAGAGGAGGAGGACGGAGCTGTTGCTGCTCCACAGTCGCTCCTGGTGGGAATCTGTGCACAGACAAGCAGCGTCAAGACACACACTGTCACAGCTGATGTGACTTCCGGTTTGGAGAGCTCAAAATAAAAGCTCCAGCAGAGGAACATGCTGAATCATCTGCAGAATTCAAATTTAGCCTAATTATAATACTTTTTTAATATTAGCAGTAAAATAAGATAATTAGTTCCACAATGGGGAAACAAGCAATAAGTAACTTTACTTAAGTGTAAGGAATATGAATGAATCTAATCCAGGTTTGATGCCCTATATTTAGTGAAGTGGTTTTTACTCTTGGCCCTGATCTGATATGTTCTGAATGGGAAAGAGTAAAATCACTTTCTTCTGTTTCTCAAATAAAGGGCTGAAAATTCTGAAAGAGTGTTTGAACATAAACTTTGTATAAAACCGTGTTCATCTTCTCTTGGTTACTCTAGTCCACATTTTTAATCCTAGATCTAGTGGAGTGTGGTTTAAAAGCTGTATAAAGCTTTCACAAATTTAAAAATTGTCTTGACATAAACAAGTTGATCTGGTCCAGATCTGATGAAACATTCATTTTTTTTATATATATTTCCTGAAGGTTTCCTAAATCTAAATCTGGATTGTAAACAGTTCTGACCTTGTTTGAGTTGATCTAGTTAATCTCTTGAATTCATTTAGTGAGGTGGTTTTGATCTGGTTCACTTTGGTCAAGAGAAGAAAACAAAGCTGTGAAATCTCACTTTGTGTCTTTATAAGAATAAAACACTTCGTCTACACCTGTTGACCTGTTTCCTGTTTACACTTGTCTCTGAATCTGTTAAACACAATAGAAATCTCAATGAAATTCTGTTCCAGGGATTTAAAACAGCTTCAACTCGACCACAGGTTCATTCTCACTGAACAAAAAAACATTTAAATCTCAAAATAACACGAGAAAATAAAAAAACAAGAGAAACTATGACACTAATCCCAAAATGGCGGCTTCCGCGTTGCCAGTTACACGAGCGTCAGTGAAATACTAATGGATGTTGAAGAAACTGAGAATCAGTTTCCCACAGTCTGTGAGTTTTGACGCTTGCTAGCTTAACGAGCTACATACGAGTAGTTTAAATTATCTTAGAGTCCGCGAACAATTAACTTTAATCACACAGTTACAAGCTCATCCCGGAAACAAACTTTAATTTGTTTTATTTCGTTAGCGAATCACGGACGTGTTGACCTAGCATCGGATTTTCAAACTCCCACATTAGCTTCACCTTTGGCGGCCATTTCCCAGCATTGAACACACCTGCGTTAGAGGACATGACAGACCGGACTCCTCTGTGGAGAACACATTAAGACAATCCCATCGTTAAACATCTCGGGGACATTTTCTCAAGTTGCTTATCAAACGAAACGAATCGCGCCAATGGAAACCGGAAACTAGTGCCTTTATTTTGGCGGTAACAAGTGTAACCGGAAATGACGCACGGAACGTTTTTTCGCGAATTTCTGGGAAAAAGAAAAAATTATTTAAATAAACATTTTTAATTAAACTAGAAATGTTTTAGATTCGCGAATTAAAATTTTCGGAAGATGTGCTTCTATTGCTGCCCACGTTTGCCTCCTGCTATATATGTTGTATCTATATTTAGATTTCACTTGATTTATATTGTGTATATCTATTAAACAATTTAAAAATTTAGTTTATTTCTTGTTATTTTGAATTTGGGCTTCATAAAGAAATTAGTAGCTCTGGCGTGTTTACGGTGTTAATAATGTGCTACCTGAAAAATAAAGGTTCTTCATGAATACGATAAAGTTTAGTGACTGAGTCACATGTTACAGCAGCAGTTAGAGATAAAGAGGTAAATATAAAAAGTGCAAGTATGAAATATTGTAAAAAAAAAAAATGATATAAAATATGAAAAACACAGAATATAATGGGTAGTAGAAGAACAAAGTGCAGTGGTATCATGATCGCACAGTAAATAATTACACATTAACTTTACACTGTATAATATTTAAGTTCTGTTCCATTTATATTTTCCCCATATCTTTTATTTCCTTGCATTTATATGTGTTGCATGTTTATCATTATTTCACTGATATCTATTTTGTGGGACTAATAAAGGAACATCTTATCTTATCTTATCTTATCTTATCTTATCTTATCTTATCTTATCTTATCTTATCTTATCTATTACTCAGATGCATTTCACATCTTAAAGGTTTTCAGTTCAGATGCAGTGCTACATGTCTGCTGCCCTCTTGTGGAATCACGCGGCATCACTGAGAAGCAGGGGGAGGAGCATGTGTGTGTGTGTGTGTGTTTCTAGCTGGACTCAGCCACGCCTCTTCTGTGTGCGTCTATTTCCTGGAGAGTGGAATCAGACTAACGTGGTTTATCCTTCTTGTTAAATTCTTGAATAGTTTTCTCTGAGGATTTGATTCGGAGCAAACATCCAGGTTTGACTCTCTGCTGCTGTCACGTGTTGCTCGTGTATTAGACTGAGAGCAGACACCGTGACAGAGCCAGCTGTGTTTGACAGGACTCTGAAGCTGCAGCAGCAACAAGGTGAGAACCTCTTCTGGCACTTTTCACAATTAAAACCTTCATTGTCACTTGTTTGTGTTCATGTTGTTACTGAACAAAGAGTGTGTGTTGTTATTAATTTAGCCTGAAACACAAAAGTCTTTATGCATATGGCCACTGTTCACACATCATGTTATACAGCTGGAACTGAAGTCATTGTGATGTTAGCTGTAAAGAGATAAATCTCTGCAGAAATGGAACGTTCCTGCTATAAAGGTGTTGCTATTGTGTCATGTTTGGTTTGATAGAAAAAGTATGAACATGGTGGTTCTGCAAAATTCTTTACATGACAGAAACAAACACATCATCATTATATCCAGTTCACAAAATAATGTTTTTACGTGTCACATGTACACACGTGTAGGAAAAAGCTTATTTTGTTTTACTTGTGAGTTGATTTCCAAAGAGATTCAAAACCATTCAGGAAAAATACAGTTATTAAAATGTAAGAAATCTGAATATCTGAAAGGATGACTGGAAATCTGCAGGTTGTTGCAGGGTGTTCTGGGAAAAAAAGCTGAAAACAGTCCTCCACAGTGCTTTGTATCAACCACATTTTACCTGCAGGTGGCGCTAAAGAGCAATTTACGTTCTCTTATTTTACAAACACCTAATAAAACAGTGAAGTTTGAACATGCAAAGTTAAGCAACGTTTTAGGCACAAATAACTACACAATTCTGTATATATATATATGATAACAATATAATTATATTATTAACATTATGCAGGACAAGTGAATTTTTATGAAATCATTGACAATATGAGCATATACCAAGAATTATAGGCTGAATTCACTGGATCTAACATTCTCCATCTTGTCTTCACAGGTTTTTTAAGATTTCTTCATGAGTTTGTCCAGCAGCCTTTAAAATGTGGCTGCTTGCTGTTTCCGTGCCGCTGCTTCCTGCCATCGTCATGGCGTCCCGTCGTTACCACGTCAAACTGTCCAGGCTGTGTCACCGAGCTCTGGGCTGGGTGCTGAGGCTGCTGCGGGGGGGAGTGTGTGTCAGGAGCACACACGCCTTCGTCTTCTCCAACTGCACCCACGGCAAAGTGGACAGTGTCCTGGAGACCTTTGACCTCTACGCTCAGACGCACCCCTCGTTATCCATTGGTCCAGAAATCGGTAAGTTGCCACTGAAGTAAATGCATCTGAAGTTTTTGAAGTGCTTTGACCTCAAGGCTTGAATTCAGGTGCAGATCAGAGTCTGACACAGTCTGGGGGGTTTTGTTTGGAGATGCATCACTGGCTGACAGGTTCAAACCATCAGGTGCCAGGAGCTTCTGGGAAAGTTCTGGGAAAACTCGCTTCGCAGAAATGTTCAGAGCTTCATTAACTTCAAACAGCTGCAAATAAACTTGTGAAATAACAGAGAAACAAAAGCAACTGTGGAATTAATAAGAAAAGTTTTGTACACTAAATCACATGTGACACAAAAAAGCATCTGTGGCGCAGGAACATGAGGAACTGAAGCTGAAAACAAAGCTGCTGCCATCAGAGATTTGTAGTTCATGAAGTGTCCAGAGAGGGGCGCTCTTTCATTTTAAATAAGTCAGAAATCAACAAGATATTTACTCATTGTTTAAAGCAGCAACAATAATTATTTTAATGCTAAGATCACAGAAAAGGTTCTTTAACATTAAATGTCCTAATATTCATCACCAACCTCCACCCATT